TCCCTTTGCCAGATATATTGTTTCATGCTAATAAATTGTATATTTTATAAAAATATGCTGCATTGGTTTCTTTGTTGAGGGAAATTTGATGTGGATGATATTTAAGTTAATTAATAGGTATTTTTGACACAGAAACAAGATGAGAATAAGGAAGTATATTTGAGTATAATTTCTCTTTAAAACAATAACTGATTCTAGTATTATAACATTTTACTTTTCTCTTAGTCTGGTGGAAGAACTGAAACACAGCAATGCTGATTTTCCTGATGTCAGGAGTGGAATTTATGTACATGAAGTTGTTCCAAATTCACCCTCTCACAGGTATGTTGAATCCAAAGCAAACATCATTTTCTTCACCTTGCGAGCACTTGCCGAGCAGAAACTGACAGGCAGCAGTTACATTTCTATTCAAGGACATGCTCCTTCTTGTTTGCGTTTTGTTTTTCAAATTTATGTGGGATTTTTAGTAAGGTGACATTAAAAATGATTTAGATTCTAATCACATGTATTTATAATATCACCATTGCCGTGGATGGCATTCTAAAGTACTTTTGACTCTAAATAAAAGACCCTAAAGAGGTATATATCATATTGGTATTTGAATGGCAGAATAAACTGAACCTTTCATATAAGCGAGGACACTACTTGCCAGTTTTTATTAAATAAACATTTCTCTATGTTCCCTGTTAGGATGACAAAGTAGTTGTCAACTTGAATTTTCTGCACTGTTGGATCAATTTTCACATTTTATTTCATCATACTACTAGTGTCCTAACCCAATACCTCATATTGGACAAAGGATTCTTTTTCTTTTTCATGTTTTCCATCCATCTGAACTTGTGGATTTTTCTTGGAATAAATAATAAATTTGGAGGGCGAGTAACAAAGTCTTTATTTTAAAAGGGAAAAAAAAAGAGAAGAGAAAACATATTTACCCAACCAATTGGTCAGCACATGTTGTCCACTTTAGAATTTTTTTAAGAGTACATTTCATTTCTAGGGGTGTAGGTTGTAGCCGTGTTGGTCTAAGGACATAGGCAGACAAGGTTCCTTGGGTGAATTTGATATCTTTTATTAGACCAACCCAAATAGTTGCAGAATAGTTATTAAGCAAGCTTTCGGGTTCAAAAACCCTTCATCAGGCTAATTTCTAGAGCACTCAATGGGCACATCTACACATAACACTTAATGTACAGTAGCCTAGTAGCACTTCACGGTAGCATGCCAGTCAAAAACCATGCTAATACACTACTGTGCAGTGTTATTAAGCTATTGCACAGTAAGCATCACAAAAAAAACTGTGCCCCAGCACTGCTGCACAGTTACTGTAGTTACTGCACATTTAATTAATACTTCATTAAGCAAGTACTGAACTAAATTACAGTAACTATTGTGCATTAATGAACATGTAGATGCGCCCATGTGTACTTTATAAAACAGTCCTGTGGAAAAAGATGGCATAAGCCATTCACTAGTAAAATTTATGCTTATGTTGTGATATGTGCTGAAGTTTTGAGAGAGCAGTTCCCAATGAAAACTGCTTTATTTTGTCTATTTCAGAAGAAATATCTTCAATAAGGTGATCCTTGTCTCATTTTTCACTGAGCGTGGCTAAGCCATGCTGGCTTCCACACCCAACAAAGTCTGGCCCCTTTGGACTCTGGAGCCCAAAAGACAATATATCCCCACTTACATTTGGGTCACCTGGGCACGTCTCTGGCATAAGTCCAGAGCATTCCTTTGGAACTGTAACAAGATGCCTTCACTGGCCTTGCACCACAGCAATGAGTACTACCCTAGGTTAAATTTGCCCCTCTGGAAGAATCCACTTGAATAGTTGAAATGCAATTTAAGTTAATTAAGTGGTACATAAACCTTCTTCTAGCCCCCTACACAGGGGTGAATTTCATGCCCTTGAATACAAAACATAACTTTTTCTTCTTGTGCTCTATGCAGAGGTGGGATCAAAGATGGAGACATCATTGTCAAAGTAAATGGACGACCTTTGATAACAACCAGTGATCTCCAAGAGGCTGTGATGAATGAGTCCCCTCTACTACTTGAAGTTCGAAGAGGAAACGATGACTTGCTATTTAACATTGAGCCTGAAGTTGTCATGTAAATCAAACTGAAGAAGCTCACACCATAATTAAACTCACTTATTCTGGACCATCAGATACCTCCTTTCCAGCTACAGTAATTATACTTCCTGTTGACTTATGACAAGGTGGACGAACTTGATTGCCTGAGCCATTTCTGTACATCATAGCTAAACAAAATTGGGTCACAAAATGAAAACATAGGTTCTGATTTTAAATTACTCTGCAGATAAAAGAGGTGTTTGTGGGAAAGTAAAAAAAAACAAGTACACCAAACTGTGCATATTGGGCATATCTGAATATCACCATGGAAATGAGCTCCACCCCGGTGCTGTAAAGTTAACAGTAATGTTACCATTGGTTGCGGAGCTAGCTCTGTAACTTGAAAGTCCAAAACCATGAGCAAACCTGGTACAAAATTGGGGAATTTAACCTTGGATGTTTATAATGAGGACTTATCTGTGATATAATTAAACTATTCTGACTCAGAGGTGAGCTATTGTTAACCTTTTTGAATGTGAAATTAGTATTGGCAAAGCTTATATTTGCCCTTTAAGCGTAAACATTATATGTGAATGCAGCTAGGGAAAAATTGTAAATATCAGAAGAGGTGACAGTGGTAACAGGCTACAGAGCATTACACCTAGGTCATGCAACTTCGGACTATGGTAAATGATTCTTATAGAATTAATGCTTTTTATATCAATCAAACCAATGTGCAGAAGAAAATTAAACATTTGAGAAAGTGCACAGTATTTTTACAGTTTTTTTTAAAGTCGTGGTACGTATTAGTTTTGCATTTTACTGGTAAGCTTGGCTGTAAAATTGATATACTACTTATGGCTTGTACTGTATATGTTTCTACTGTAAGGGAATTAAAGTTTACAATAATAAAATTTTGCTTTACTTATCTGTTAATCATTATTTTTCAAATAGTCTCCCATACAGAACCAGGTTCTCCAAAGAGATAATGGTGTTAAAGAAAAATTGGGGTGTGATGATCCTAAAAAAGGATCCTTACTTTTATTGCTCTATCATTCTTATGTTAAAATTGTGCCCTAACTTCAACTATGATTATTAGGAATACCTTGCACACATCACAAGTCACTTTTTTACCATGTTATTTCCTAATTATTAATTCTGCTTGTTCTCAACCTTTTTATATTCTGGGCATTCCTCCAAAACTTTTTAAAAATTTGGTGGGACCATGGTTGAGAACCATTAATGTTTTTCTGCAGCTTATGTCAGCAGTTCTCAACCAAGGCCCTGCTGCCACAACCATCTAGAACTGCCCCATATGACTCATGCACAGGCAGATGAGCCTAAAGCAGGCTGGAGTGCTAGCTCTTGCTGCATCCCTTCCCTGTCTGGCCCTCTGATGCTCCTCAGAAACAGAGGCATGTTCCCTCTGCCCCTCACATCTCTGTTTCTAGCAGAAGCCTGGGAGGTAGGATTGGGACTGCACTGTCTCACCCCTAAAAGGGTCTCACTGCATTGGGTGACATGGCACCCGAGTTGAGAATCACTGCTCTAGCACTTCCCATTGTGCTGGACCCTAAATACACTCAGCAAGAGGCAAATAGTCCCATTAGCCTTATTTTACAGACAGAGCTAATGTGATTTATGCAGTTAGCCCAGGGCAAAGCCAGGAACTAAATGCTGGTCATCTAACCCCAAACCACCCCTACCCAAGGAATTTCACTCCCATTTCCAAACACATGTAAGGATGTTCAGTCCGTGTCTTTTGTTTTGTCTTGTCTGGAATCTTGTCTAAAACTATTCAAACTTTTTAAACTTCTGTGTTGATTCTGCAAGTTTTCTGCATGCATAACTCTCACTAAAATCAGGTAGGAGTCTCTATGCTGGAATTTAGTAGGACCACATTTTTACTTGGGGTAAAGTATAAATGTAAGGTCCAAACCTGCAAAAATTCCTGCATGCACTCAGACTTTAAGATGATAGTAGTCCCTTTAATTTCAGTAGCATTACATGTATGAAGTCAACCATATGTATGAGGTTGCAGGTTGGGACCATATTATTTTCATATTATTTGTAAGTGATGTCAAGGGAATTCCTGTGAGTTATTACATTCTTCAGTATCATCAGACAGGTTAAAATATTATCTCCAAATTGTCAGTTACAGGTTTAATGAATCTTAACTTCCAGAGCCAAAATACTTGATAAGCAACCCCACAGAGCTGTTGGGTCCTCCCTTTGTGGTACATTTTTAATAGAAGACTTAAGCTTTTTGGCATAAAACAGCATATTAGTTATTACTGAATTGAAAAGAAAACATATCAAAGGCTTTTTATATGAAGGTTGTATGATATTCCAATGTAATTCTAACCACAGTTAAAAGTATTCATAAATAGGATACAACATACTGAGATTATATGTATGTAAGAAGGGGACATTTCCCTTTGCTACCATCACCTTAGTAAAGGAAACCCATGTGCAGCTCTGTACAAGATTATTTTGGAAATCTCATATCTACTCTGCTGAAGTGTTATGCCTTTGCACTGGAATAGATTTAACTCTAGGGTTAGATGTTGCTACCTGAGAAAATAAAGTTCGTCATTTATCTTCAATATAGCATAATCCATTTTAGTAGTAGTCTGCGTTATCAATGATGGGAAAGAAGAGTGTACTTTGATGGGTGGACTCAGTCACCTGACAGGGGTCAGTGTTTAAAAAAATATATTTTTTTAAATATTTTTTTCTTGGAATATGTCCTATTCTATGACAGAGTTGGTATTCTCTGATGTCAGTTGTTAATGTTGCATTGTAAATTCTTGGCTAGAGACTATAAAATATCTTGCTGTATCTTTTTAAAACAAATTTTTTTAGGCATTTTTCTCTAATGGACAATTATAGACCATGCCTCTTTTCAGAAATATTGGCTATATATAACAAATATGTGATCTTGGTTTCTAAAGAAAAAAACAGCAGCTGCAGGATGGCTGTTTGTCAACAAAATTAAAGCATTTGGTATTCCTTGATTATCCTTTTATATCAGAAAGATATCTAAAAGCACTTCATTAATTATAAGATCTATTGCAGTAAAATAAGACAACGATTGGTTTAATTAAGGGACTGATTACACTGTCACATAGGAATACAATCAATCCTCTACAGCCATAAGAAATAAGGATATGTCAACAGAGCAGTCAAAAAAACTGGATAGAGCCCAGAGTAGGCTAATTTACCCTGATCCTTGGGTTGTGGTGAGCTCTGTGTTGCCATAACTAGTAGTCCTGAAGCTTACCTAGCTTGGGTTTCTCTATACATACAAGATTGCAGTCACTATTGAGTGGTAACAGCAGCATGGATGAAATTTAGGATGCTTACTCCATAACACTAGAGCCAAGACCCTGATTTTTTTTTTCCAGTGAACTGAAGGTAGGTTTTTGTTTTGGCAAAACAATGGACCCAAAATAAGCTAGATAATACAATTATCTAAGAGAGAAAGTAAATTATTTTTAAGAAAGAGATGATGGGTGAAGCTGAGGTAGGATGCGAGTTAGGCCAGGGAAAAGAGAAGAGAAGAGTAGGGCAGAATGGGAAAAGAAGACAGCTTTTGAAAGTAAATTGCTTGTTATTACTGGCAGTAGATGCAGACAGTCTGACGCTGAGCCGAGTAGACGTGTTCACATGCAAACACCCTCTTTGCCTTTCTTGACCTGCACTTAGTAGAAGGCTAGAATCTATTCCAATGGTTATTGCTATATCCTATGCAATATTTGCATATAACTTGGTATCAATAAATGAGTGCCTGCACCTTAAGGCTTTGCCTGTACTGCAACATTAGCAAAGAGTAAGGTACACTGTTGTCTCTAAAGTATAATACTTATTATGTACCAATTTGACTTTGCAGTAGGAGTGCCATTGTGTGTCATAGTTAAACGTTGAGCTGTGATGATTTGAAAAAAAACTTTAAACAGCTGCAGAAGCCTTTACATTAGTTGGGAAAGGATTCAGCTAAACCATACAGAGGCTTACAATGTAGAATCAAAATCTATACAGGGAGTTAGTCACGCTCAACTTCTGCACTAGATTTTGCAAATATTTCGGGCTCTTTAGACTCGCATTAAGTGAAGCTCTTAACCTACCTTGCATACTACCTAGTAGTCCCATCTCTATTGCTTCTTTTTTCTTGCTTGAGATTGGTTTACTTACTTCAGAGGAAAGAGGACTAGGGGAAATCTTTCTTCTCTGGGCTTGGCAGGAGTCTACAATGTAATGCTACATATTATTTCAAGCAACTGAATAATGCCTGTGCATTGAATGGATTAAGTTTCCCTTTCCCGTAGACAAGGGAATGTAGCATAAAGGAGTTGGGTTTGCCTTTGGACAGTCCATAGCAGGCCGGAAATTACTGTTCGAAGAGACACTGACAAGGCAGGAGACAGACCAAAGCAATACTGAACGTGTGTACTGTGAGTGCTAGTGTCTCAGGGGACCCACCTAGAAGGATGATGTATTTGGGTAGCTTTAAAGTTTGAAAGACTGTTGGAAACAGGGGTGGGAACATTTTTATTTGTTTTATGTTGTCTGTTTATTTGGGTTTCCACTGTCTTCATTTAACTGAATGCACTTGGGGGAATCGTCCAGGGCTGTGTTCTCATTCCAATTTCCCACAGTGGAAGATATTTTGGTCACTTTTTTGTGCTCCTTTTAGCAAGTCCTTCTCCAACACTTAGGCTAGGAGAGAGGCTACAAGCCTCTGCCTTCAGAACAACTTTAAAGGTTGTGCACTCTGGAAATAAATTTAAGCAGAAAGAATAAAACTCACCTCTACTTGTGCAGATACTGTAGAAGAGGCACTGGCTGCCAGCTCCGTTCTGATTGATGGGAATGCAGCCCTCAGCTGCACGTACTGTGAAGTCTGGCCTTGTGTCTATGTGTAGTCTATGCTATTCAGTGCTGCATTAGCACGTCCGTCATGCTGAGAATGGATGAAAGAGAAAGTGTCTCTGGACACAGTAGTAAGAGTTCAGGCCGCCACAGCAGTAAAGAAATATCAGGGGGGAAAAAGATGCTTACTTTTTCTCATTTCAGCTTTTACCCATGAGGGATGAAAGAAGGCAGGTGAAGCAACTTCCCTTATTTCAAAAATGCTGTGGGGGCATGTAAGTGCTAAAAAGCTTTTTGACCTATGAAAATCTCAGAAGAATCGCAGAACTAGCTACGCACTCTTTGTTGCTTCGAGAAATACTAGCCATGCCGTCACAAAGCGTACTCAGGCATTATGAGGGAAAAACAAATTCCTGAGGAAATCAGTCACCAAGGAGAACAGCCGAGCAGCTCCAAAGAGTTAATCGCACGACTGTAGTGGAGGCACAGAGATCAGTGACTTATAGCTACAAAACCGTCTATGTGAAATCATGTTCTGTGCTCTCTCATCCTCATAGCTGGGAATCGCACCTGTGTTGCTACTTGCACAAAAGGAAGGAGATTATTAAAAAACAAACAAAAATAAAATAAACCTCAAAAGAGCTTCTGGCTTTGGGCTATGTCATCATCAACCTTCAATTAGGAGATTGATAGGATGAGGAGGAGATGACAAGGAGACCTTAAATATGCCAGAGAAAATAGTGCTAGTGATCTGTAAGGTGACATTCAGACTTCGGAATTGGCAGTGAAATCAGATTGGACATAAGGAGAAACTTCTCCATGATTCGAGTGCCCAGGGTCTGGACCAGACTCCTGCCAGAGATGGTACAGTCACCTACCCTGAAGATGTTTAAAAAATGACTTGATGAGCACCTTGCTGGGGTCATCTCCCCCCGCAGTCTTTCCTGCCCAAGCGCAGCAGGGCTGCACCAGATGATCTCATGAGGTCCCTTCCAGCCCCTAACGTCTATGAATCTATGAATGAAATAGT